CCCCAAAACCCCAAAACCCCAAAACCCCGCAACCAATTCGTCTAATTGATGAATGAACATTTTTGTAACTACGGATTTATACTTAAGAGATCACTTGATTGCACAGATTGGATTGGTGGAAGTTTTCCTGGTTTATGATGCAACTATATAATTTGGTCATTTTTATAACTTACCCCATTCTTTTGCTCAGAGGATATTTTTGAATTAAGAGCTGGAGAGAACTCTTCTGGAATGAAAGAGTCCTCACTAAAATCTGATCTGTCGTCTTTATCTTCTTCCTCTCTTTGAGCTTTTATACTCTTAGTCTGCATGTGGGAATGATGATTAACAGAGTATTGGCTAACTTTTGTTGCCCATTTTTCTACATTTTCATCCATATATTTTAAATTCAGAGATAACTCAGGTAAGACCTTCTCAAGAATTCAAAAAGCAGGTCTTATCAAGTTCTTAATGAAACCATCTTGAGCTTTGGCTACATTTGTAGTAGTCCTATCCATTAGAAAGGATATCTCCATTCCAAGTTCTCTTTCTTTATCTCCTTGATTAAAGAATTCAATAAAGAGTAAATCTGTCCACTTTTTACAAATAGACCAAGGCTTAGTGGGATTACTAATATCAGCCATATGAAACAAAAACTCCATAGACAGCTTCTTATCTTTGTCCGAAGGGTCAAAGTCGCTTTCAGAGGTCCTTACACCCATCTGGCTCATATCTGGGAAATGTCTGGTCATATCTGTTGAGAGAACTAATTCGACGATTAGCTTCCTGAAATCGCGATATTGATCTTTGCTCAAATTATCGAAAATATTGCACTGTCTATTTCCTTTCATAATCTTAAATCCCATTGCAGCATGATAACTCTCAAGAACTGCCTTGTCATTGTATCTGATGGCAAGGGGAGCAGAGGTGTTCACCATGTAAACGTTATTAAAACCAGGGTGATCTGTATCATGCATGAATCCAGCCAAAAGCATAGCCATCTGTTCGACTCTAGATAACTTGCAAATATCAATCATGTGGCAAGTGTACATATAATAATAGCAAGTTTGGGAAAGATCTGTGGCGTGTGTCTTGTTGTGGTAAGCAATCTGGTTGTAGCTGCTCTGCAACGCATACAAATAGTTCTGCATCCTCTTCGTGCTGATCTTGAACTCGTCCATGTACTTATCTTTAGCCATGATATGCATGCCAAAGATGTACATTTCGTTCTCAACAGATTTGGTTTGGAGCTCGAAGACGTCGAACTCTAAGTCTTTGGCAGACTCAAGAACCATTTTGAGAGTGTACTGAGACTCCATTGTAGCGAAATTGAATCCTTCTTGGAAGTACTTCTCTTCTTTGGATTCAAGAACTATCAGTGCCTTGCTTATTTCTTTCATTTTAAGCTCTTGTATCTTCATTGGATCAATCTCTTCCTCATCACCTTGGAGAGAACTATCATTAAGCCGATTTTTTGACATGAGTTTGCTCTTATCTTTCTTGTACAGGAAAAGGCTTCTTTTGAGTCCAGCCTTGACGAGCTTCTCTCTGGAGCTGCATCTCTGGTAGAGGTCTTTTAAGAGAGTATCTACATTTCCATGAATCTCAACGGCTGAAATTTCTGATTTTCTGTTTCTTCCTCAGTTATCGACCAATGTTTGCTCCACCTCAGTTATAAGCACTGAGAACAACACCAATCTCAAGACCCTTCCAAAGCCTACAAGGATGTGGATGCGCTCTGAAAAGCTTTGTGAGACTTCATAGATATCAAAGATTAGCGTAAGCACAATCACCGAGCATTCTACGACCAGGTATCGATTCCTAAAGAACATCTTCAAGCCATTTATCCCAATTTGGGGAACAGCCACCATCAGGAGTAGAGCGAACTGAAGAGCCATCTGAGGGACAACTGCGTATCTAAACTTATCATCTTTGTCAAGGTAGTACATCAACAAGAAGTAAGCGCCAAGCAAGAGCATCACAAGAGTTTCGGTGAAGCTCTTGAGAATTTTGAAGATGAGGCTTTGTTCACATCTCTTGATTGTACTAATATTTTCTTCAACGATTTCCACTTGATCTATAACAAAATTACCTTCGATGTCTTCAGACTTGTTGCCGCTGAGCTTTTTAGATTCGGAGCCTACCACATGTAAGACTCTCTGTGAGTTAGAACTTCCTAGCTTTCTTCCCTGAATCCGTAACTGCTCAGCCAAGCTACTTGAACTGTGAGGATCCTGATCAGGGATCAAGTTTCTACTAAAAAGCTGATTACTCTGAAGAGTATTCCTCTTCTTAGCTTCTCTTAAATTATTCATTATGTCAAAAGCTTTCAATTATTTTCCATTTATGGGGTTTTGGGGTTTTGGGGTTTTGGGGTTTTGGGGTTTTGGGGTTTTGGGGTTTTGGGG